ATGCTGCCAAAGGCATTAGGCAATGTTAGAACTGACAGGTGCACTCGCGGAAATATAGTGGTTTTTTTTTTTTTTTACAAAAAGAACGCTATCCTAATAACAGAGTTACTTCGAAAAATATAGTGTTATGTATTTACTATAAGTGTTCTAGATACGAGCTGCGTAAGCGACGGTAATAGTCTAGTGGCCCGTGCTCAGACAATAATTTGGCGAGGCCTGGTGAAGCCAATTTTGCAAGCGACTGTATGAGTGGCCGCCGGTGTTGCGACGTAGTGTTGATGTTGTGGGTGGGCCGCGTGCGGCGCAGCAAGCTCTGTTGCTCAAACGTTACGCCGTGCAGCCATGCTCTAGGTCGCAGCACCTTAGCGTTGCATTCAATAAAACTACGCCGCAACCTGATGTGATGGATGGGCCGCGCTGATGATCCCATCGCTGTCGCAAGCCAATGGCGCGGGAGACAGTTTCGCTTACCCCTGCAACATGGCTGATGCTTGTTATGGGAGTTCTCCACCGAGAACACCCGAAGACCTTAGCCAATTCAGCCTTCCCAATATGATTTTGTGAAATCTTGGGTTGTTCAGGGGAAGCCAAGGGAGGTTCCAATTGAGCACTCATCTTGAAGCTTCAAGGTAGAACTGCTCTGCTACTTTCAAGACCAGTCACAAGAGTTTGTTTATTTAATAGTATCAAGCGACGGAGCAGAACATCAAAATTGACTTCCAGTTAACTTACATATCTCGCCTCAGATGAGAAAACATTAATGCTCTTCTTAGTTTGAAATATATTTAGAACGATGAACGACAGTATTGCTTTAACAAACTAGTTTTCTAGTATTGTTGGATGACATGAACGTGTAAAAACTACTAGACAAAGGCTTTTGCTTAGAGCTTGTCTTCAGGTTGAAAATCCAGCTCGGTGAAGTTTAAATCCCGGTCGGCTCTCTTCCGAACAAGATCTACTGCTTGCTGCCGAATGCTGTTTCTCGCGGAAACTGAACGCCAGTTAGTCTGTAATAGGATCCAAAACCATAGATGACCAACCGGTGACTATCTTCTGACCCTTTTCCCTCTGCAGCTTGTCTAAGAGTGTGCTCAAATCCATATCCGTATATGTGATCAATAGTCGGTTGTGTTCGGACAGGTTCATGCTCTCCTTGCCTTTAGCGTCACACGAACAATTGTATACCCAAATGCTTAACTTGTAGTCAGAGTCGAGGTCGAGTAGTTTGTTCATCCATCGCCCAACCCAGCCGTATTCGTCTTAAATAGGTCAGCACTGGGTTGAGTAGAGTTTGGATCAGCTTACCATTGCGTCTCAGTTCCCAGGCTAAGAAAATGATCCGTGTTCTGGAACTGATCCCACGCGACCTCGAAAGAGCTTGCTTTGCGTAAGGAATCTGTGCTGCAATCCCGATGTCGGAAGCGATCAGTAGAACCGCGTCGTAGCCAGACATGTTTAAGGAACGACCGTATGGCCCTCCAAGGAGGATCGGCACCCGAACCGAGTCAGGACATCGCCGAGAGACCATACCAGTAAAGCCTCTTCGAACTTTAAAGAGGATTTCGATCGAGGTAGCCTTCTCGTCGCTATCTCCGTCCCACCACACAATCATAAAGGGATGAGTCTGAATCGCGGAAAACCATCCAAGGCGCGGCAAGCACAGTTGAACATATTGGCCAGCTTTAACCTTCCACGGCCGTTTTGGGGTGATCCTTGCAGAGATAGCACCGGCATGGTGGCGGATTTCCCCTGTTGCTCTCCGCCCACTCCAGCCGGTGTTGCGATAGAGGAACAACAAGAGCTGGAGAACCAAGCCTCCAGCGAAGATTCCAATAGATAGCAGAAGATAGAGGAATTCCATCCTGTCACCCCCACTCGTATGCCTCCAGATTACATACGTGGCGAAGACAGACAAAAGGACGTGAGACTTCACGAAGATCTCGTAGAAAAATCGTCGAAATACGGGAAAGATTGTTAGGGCGGCAATAGAGACGGCAGCCTAGCTAGGTTAGTAGCTGCCTCTGCTAGTCGTAGGTAGCTTACAAGAAGACCGAATAACTGTTTCCGGTCCTTGACCGAAAACCTTCCGTCCGCTAAAGAGATTCCAACATGAAGGCTGGATTGGACGGCGCTCATCACTGCTAAAGCCCTGTGGGCTTGCTTGAAGGATTTTAGGGAAAGTCCGAGCAGGTTAGCGGCGAATCCAAGGTTGCTGGAAAATACAAGAGGCCCAAAGTTCAATAGTGCCAGCTTTCCTGCTCGTAGGCCTATCTCCCTTCGACTAGGAAACCCCCATAGGTTGCAAGTAGCAGTTCCTGCCCAAAAAGTCATGTGAGAGAGGAAGCTGAACCATGAGATTGGACCAATAAATGAATGTTGTTTTATGAACTGACGCAGGATGAGATGCCGCAGCACGTAAAACCTCATTGTTCGATATATTTTCCTTACTATGGGTCTCAAGCCAAGGTAGAATCGGAAGGTCATAGTGATGAAGAAGAGGATGGCAAAACTGCCGAGCAAGGCAAAACAGTAGATGTAAGATGAATCCATGTTGTCTCTTACATTGGATGTCGAGAGAACTTCATCCGTCTCGCACGTACCCTTATAAACGAGTCTGACTGATTTGTGAGCCCTATTTATAGAATCTCACACCGGTGCTGCTGAAGCGCCCAATAAACCCATTTCTAAATTTAGGCTCTCATGTAGTATTTATGAGACTGAGGTCGTGTGCAGCAGTGGAGCGGACAGACATGGCGAACATCCGGCTAGACGTTGATGCTCAGTCTGAGCGAGCCTCCTTCAGGAAGCGGACCGCAACCATGGTCAAAAAGGCTAAAGAGTTGGGCGAGCGCTGTAGAGCAGATGTTTGCATCCTCATCAGGCATGAGGGGAAGTTGCACGCCTTTTCGTCCAAAAATCTATGCGCATGGCCGCTTGACCTTAACAACGTAAGAACATCCTCCTGATCCACAAATAACACGCTAAACGATACAGGCAGGGGAGGATGTTCTGCCGATCACGTATCTACGTGTAAGACGCACGAGAAGTGACAAAGGTCGAAAAAGGCAAAAAGGCTCTGTTTCACAGTGCAAAGCTGAAGTAAGGGCAGCGAAGCTTAAACCACCACCAGTGCTTTCACCAGCTGTAGATAGGGGAGGATGTAGAAGTGAGTCGGCTACTCATGGCTTATAATAGTTGTGTCGCCGATCATCTCCGTAGAAAGCGGTCTTGTAGATTTTCAATCGACCTGTAGCAAACCTTTTGCCTTCTGACCAATTTTCATGTAGATGTCTATGGCATTCGTTCCATCAATCCTTGATTCATGACGCACGCCAGTTTTTAGTGAATTTGAATTATCACTGCTTGTGTTGACTACCAAAATATCGCACTTGTTTGCATTTGACATACAAGATCCACTCTCTAGAACCAGCTAGTCTTCATCAATGGAACTAAAGCGCTTATTTGGTGGAACACCCCTGTGTTCTCAGGCTTCTCTTACACAACCTACGATATCGCATGCCGAGAGTGCTTTGAGGGTAACGCTTTCCAAACCTCGCTTCGAAAATTCTTATGATTTCCTTCCATATCAACCCTCTCGCCCTTAGTTCGATAAGAAGATCATTCTCAGCTTGATACAAGCAGCGAGCAGTCTCCTTTTGATCCCATCTTGCAATGAATTGCTGATGAAGCTCTTCTGGGTAGTTTCTTCCGACGGCCAAGGTGCCAATGAGAGTTGGGGGCTTATAGCATCTTTGTAGCCAGACGCATCGTGGAAGTGGAGGAAGTAGAATTAAGGACATTGTTTTTCAGATGATTTGAGATTCTGTGAGGCAAGACAGTCTCGCGTATTTAAGAGTTGGCTCGAAGATTTCTTCAGTGATGGTCCATTTGATATAACCCGAGGGCTCATATAAGCGCCCCAATGTGTAAAAATAGCCAGAAAAGCCACAGTTCCTACCACTGGCTGGAGATGTACACTCATCTCTCTTAGCCGCGCGGTACCGCTAGCCCTTATTTCCGTCTCGCGACTTAACGCTTGCAGGCAAAGCCTGACTCGGGTCGGTTTCTCCCTTGCCACTGAAATAGAACCCGTGCCCAACGTCGTAGTATTTCTCAAGTGAACTAACGTGATCACCTGTCTGCAACCATCACCTATGCGACATGGAAGATAAGCCACTGGGCGCTTAAGCAGACTGAAATAAGATGACCTTCGCTGTCTCTCCCCTCAGGTGTTCTACCCATCCTCTAGAAAGGAGAACCTGCTCCAAATGCTGCTCATCATTGCCTTTCTTTTCCTCCGTGCGGAGGCCACCAACACGATTGCCTGCAATACCCCGAGGACTGTAACCGTCGAGTCAATGACAACGACAACAGTAACGCTTGTGCAAGGAGGTCTTCCAGACAATGCCCTTTCCGCCGTTCCCAATGGCAGGTCTTCTTTACCTCCTTTAACGATGCCACCAACGGTTACACCCGGCCTGATTATTCCTCAATATCTGCTAGTGACGACTCCTCCGCTCATAGCGACGATGGCGAGTACCGGACAGCCTCGAAATCTAACGGCTCCTACAACATGGGCTTTCTCGGGAAAGTGGTTCCCGCCGGCTCCTACACCACAACCGACTCCAAGCACGCCTATCGTAGCAAGCTCGGGAAGCTCTACTTCTTATACTTCACTCATTTCGAGACTAGCTCTTTCTATTACTGTTCTTTCTGTATTTGTCGCTATCGGTGTGCACAACTGATGAGGAGTTTGTCAGCTCTCAGGATCGTTTTTCTTTGGATTTCAGCTTCCATGCTACGATACAGGGAGCATTAGTATTTAGAATCATGGCAGCTGATTACTTCACTCATTTATTTGTTTGAGAATTACCATGGTAGAAAACCAATCACGTTGGTCTTCTGTTCTTGAGTAGCGAGTGTGAGTGTTCTATTGTGCAATATTCTGCTCCTAGTAGCGTTTCCTATAGATCGAAAGTATGAGAGCCCCTTCTTTGCCTTCAAGCTTCGTCTGTACTTCTACCGTTGGTGCATCCGTCATCCTTTGAATCCAAACTCTTTTTACCAGCTCCCTGCGCAAGTCGATCATCGATGTTTTGTAACAGATCATGGATCTCGCGAACCCAAGACTCAAGACGCTCCAGAAACCTCCTCATCGTGTTCATTTCAGCGATACTGTCTCTGTTGCTGTAATTACATCAGCAAAGTATGTGAGCTTCAACCGATCTACTTACTCCGTACACAAATCCTCCACCTTCTGACAGAGGCTAGGAATGCTCTGAAGTGTCCGCTTCTCGTCCTCGGATAGGAGAGACATATCTTGGGTACGGCTTTGGATCACCTCATCCGTATTGGCCCAAGCAGAGTTGTCTGTCGTGATATTGGGGTGGTTACCCGTGTCCTGACACAGGTTCGCGAACTCGCCATACTGGGCATCCGGAATGCCATCAAAAAAGAGTTCTTCAAACGTGAATTCATCCATGGCGTCGCCAAAGTTCATGAGTTATCACCTTTTCAAGGAGCCGGCGGCGAGCTTTATGTCCATTCACTTAAGCGCCTACATCTTACGGTCGGGCAGGCCGGTGATTGCCGCGCTGCGGCACAGCGGTACCGACATGGCGACAGGGGTGGTTGCAGGGGTTTCCTGAGAAGCTATCGCAACGGCCCATCCATCAAGAAAAAAAAAAGCCAAATTATTAAAAAAGGAACCTCTGCCGCGCGCCTCGGCTCTAGCGCCATTGGTTCCGCTAGGAACACAGCCCAGAGCGAGCTCTGATACATATACAGCCTGACTGGCACTAGCATCCACAAAACAATCGTCGCTTCACCAGGCTTTCCTACTCTACGATTTCTTGCATCGATTGACATTATGCCACAAACACGAGAGGTTACGCATAAGCCATGGCTGCTTGCAGAGGAGCAAACACTTTTCAGCATTCGTGAATCCTATCCCACAAGCACTTGGGACACGATTGCGCACGTTTTTAATGCTACACATGGCTCCGAACGCCACCGTACGAGCTGTGCCCTACGCACGAAATGGTCTAGGATCAATCAATTACGACTGCAGCGTCATTTCCAATCTCGCCTTCATGCCCATACTCCACTGATCCCTCTGCGCATCTTGCAGCCTCGATCACCTGGAGCATGTAGCAAAGAGAATGGTGTTCAAACGAACGTAAGCTGGGAAGCTTTCACCGATTCCATGAGTGCCTTCTTACGAGCATAGGCTGCCCCAACAGCAACTGCTCCCATGGGAGACATTTCCCAAATCAACGCCTTTCCAACGGTCTATTTACCTCCTGTTGGCTGGCCTTCTGAATTGGTTCTAAGGAAAGGCTATTAATAGAGCGAAGGAGAATGGTCGGTCTTCTTGAGCAACGTTATGCTTCTCATGCCTGGACTTCTAGCGTTCCTTTGATTTTGGCATGCATTGCGCCTGCCTTGACCATCTGTTCCGAGACGAGGCCAGGTGATAGCGCGCACATCAATGAATGTTTTTTACAATCACCCTTGAGCCATTATCTTGTCCTTAGAATATGCACACCTGCTGGTGATGTAACCCAGAGGCTATGCAGTACTCACGTTTACCCGGTCATTTGATGAACAGGACTCTTGCTTGTTCTCTCTTCCAGCCTTTGTGGAGAGCACTCTTACGGTTGAATGGCGAAGGCTTCTGTTTCCCTCTCCCTATTTTTTCTTCCGTTTTTATCCCTTTCCAGTTCACTTGCTTGGGCTACCACTGAGTCCAAAATATTTATTAAGCGGGGAGCAGTCTTAGTGTTGGGACAGCCGACTTAAGCGCCTAGTCACAATGATGACAGGCAACCTAAGAGCTTGATCGGAATTGTGATGGCTGATTTAAGCGCTTCACCACAGTTGCGGCAGCTAAATTAAGTGCGATCACGTTCGTGACGGCTGATTTAAGCGCTTTATCACAGCTGAGCACAGGCTATTCTTAGTTTTCTCTATGAGTTGGTAGCAAAAGGACGCACTTACAGGGCTCAATGAGCCCACGCTGATATTTAAGTGACACCAAATCTCAGCTTCATCGCTCGCGGAATCACTATACAGTCGGCAAGTCGGATTGAGTATAACGTCCACGATAACATGACCTCTCGCGCCCACCTTGTAAGCACGCAAGCTGTTGCCCATTGTCTTAATTAAGAACTAACAAGGTGATTAAGCGCGAATGCCTTCATTGCCAGGACTGCGAAAGGCGGTCTGATTGGGACTTCCTTCGAGACTTCTTTGCGCGAGAGGAGCGCTTGGTCGGGTACGCCAGAGGTCTCGAATATCAGGTTCGAAATCTTCATCTCGCCCTCGCACGAGGTGCACAAGACGTGCAAGCCGCCACACATGCTTGTAACGATCTAGCACGTCAGCTTGAAGAGATACGGAATGTGCACACTGCCACGCAGGCAGAGCTCGCTCTGAAGGATGACCGTCTGAACGACTTCGAGTTGGACCTACAGGACAGGCGACGGCAGCTAGTCGAGTACCAGTCGGAGAGCGCCAAGGATCGCGAAATGATCACGAAGATGAAGCAATTTCTGAGTGATTTCATCCACGGAAACGTCGAGGATGTCCTTGACTCCTTAGAGGAGTGCGAGGAGGTGTTGGATGCCTTGGGGGAAGAGAAACAGGAGCGAGCAGCATCCTCTGAAAGGGAGCCGCGCCAATCTCTCAGAGATGAAGGGAGCGAATGATCTGGCGGCTGTATGACATTACGTAGGACCGCTCTCTATACTTGAATCACTTCTCAGAGCAACAATTATAGCATATTAAGTCCCTACAGTATATTCTCCAAGTAACTCCAACAAGCTCTCGCGAAAATTTACAAGGTCTGGTACGTGTAGGTGGATTTTGCGACGGTAAAAGTTGAGCGTAAGCCCTCCTATCACTTCGTCCGATTCAATGTCTTCCAAAATCGAATCTAGGTCAAACAGTGCTGCTGCTCGCCACCGAAAGGCGCTCCAAACCTGAATATGCCGATTCAGGTTATTTAGTCCTTCCAGTGCCACATGCGCTAGCCGGCTCCTTGTTCCGGACACGGAGAGAATCTTTAGAGGCTCATCAGCTTCGCGGTACAAGATAAGAAGCTCGCGGACGTTGGGCATCATCTCAAGCTGAGCGGGATGCTGACTCAGAAACATAAGCCACTGAGCTACGTCAACGTGCCGTAGACCTTCTAGTAGAACGGTTTCCAGCGGAGTGAGCCTTATTGGAGGATCTTCCAGCACAATGTCGTGTGGAAGTCTTTCGTAACAATCAGGACAAGCCCCATGTGCTCTAATGAAATCTTGGGCACATTCTTTGTGGGATAGGTGATTGCTGGTGCACGGAATTATGCTCACGCGCTCGATGAAGAGGTCTCGATTGCAGACGTGACACTCTGCTTGGTCTGGTGGCCCCATCATTTCATCCTCAAAGCCCGAGTCAGCTAACAGCTCTTCTAATACATTTGTTCGGCAAAAAGGACAAGTCGATCTCGTTTCCAGCCACGTTCTAATGCATGCTCTGTGGAATCGATGCCGACCACCGCACGGAAGTTCAGTGACGACTCCGTCATGGAGGCGATCAGTGCAAATGGCGCAGTTCTCGTCGTTATCCGGCCGATCTTCTTCGCTGTCTGACTCGAGCGTAAAATAGAGAGAAGTCGGGGGACTAGATCTCTCAAAGCTCGTGTTTTCTTGTGGATCGCCAATTTGCGTATCGGTGGACTCGTCCTCGTGCCCACTGGCAGAACTGTCTTCTGGAATGGACTGTGCTTGCTCCGTCCTGTGAATCGCCTCATGATTATCTATCAGGTCCGAGCCGTCTTCGAGAACAACCGTCAAGAGATCAAAGTCAGGGGGCCTAACTGTGCCGTTAGTAGATTGATTGAGATCAGCGAAACAGTTAGAGCAGAGATAGTTTTGGCTTAGCAAGTATGCTCTCAAACAGTGCTCATGGCAGCAGTGCCCACAGCAAGAGAACAGAGTGTATTCCTCATTTCGCAATATGCGATGGTCGCAGGCAAGACAAGGAGTTGAGAGATCTGCCACAGCCCTGTAAAGAGTAAATTGAACGCCGTCGAAGGATATCAGACGTGGTGCATCAAAAATTGATTGAGACATATTTTGTAGAAACTGTGCAGGTAATTGCAGTTGATTTCGAGAATGCAAAAGTGTGAATGAGGAGTGCGTCGAGATATAAGAGCGCAGCAACAGGTGTGTTAGCCATCTAGGCCTTATGAGTAAGTAGAACTATTTTTGGCGAGCTAAATCGTTTCTGTATACTAAAAGCGCGTTTGAGCTTTCGTACTTTTGTTATATACCGTTATGGGATTAAAGCGCAGACGTAACATTGCTAAATCAACACGGAACTAAGTTGATGTGGTTATATAAAGACAGGTTGATATCGTCCCACTTGAAATCAAGCAATCAAGCCACCAAGAAATCAAGCAATCAAGTAACCAAGCATCATGGATTCCTCCCACCGCGATGGAAATGAACAGCCTCGGGGCTGGCCCGACAATAGTTCGTCCCGACGTGTTGGCAATGATGACTCGGACAGAAGTCTTTCCCCAGCCCGGGACATACCAACGCCCTCAGACCCTGGCATCCAGGAAATAAATGAGCGATACAGGGATCGTCCGCCTCCAGGGCCTTCGCCAACCTCTCCTCAGTTTGTAGATGCGTTGGATAACCCTACAGCTGAATCGCCGCGTCGTACTGCTGAAGCTCAGCGCAGGAGAGCGCAGTCGGGCCCAGGTAACACCGGTAGCCAGGCTGCTGAAGCGGCACCGTCTGCATCTCACGCTGAAGAGAACGTAGTTTCTGGAACTCAAGGGGGAATCCTTAACACGGCTAGCTCCGCGGTCCGAAGTCTGTTTGGCTCGCAAGCTGGTGACTTCACCAGGCAAAATAATGGGCGAGGCAACGAGGACCGTGAACCGCCAACGCAGAACAACACTGGCGCCAATACGGGAGCAGCAGCCGATGGATCCCTGTACCCAGACATCTCTACCCAGGCACAGACTGCGTCAATGGGTCCATCGCCGCCTACGACAGGCGGAACAAGTCAGACGGCCGACGATCGAGGCCCACCAACCTCTACCCAGAATGCAGATGTCCCGATGCAGGATGCACCACCCATCAGAAATGCCAGCCGGCCGGCCCGGCAAGACAGAGAGGCAGCAGAGGTAGATGGTGACCAACCTCCACCTCCGGTGAGAAGGGGATATAGGGAAGGCTGGGCATGCGACGACGGCATGTGGAAGCAAGTAGTGGCCTACAGACTTCGGGGCAGCGGCCACCAGGTCATGTTGAGGGAAAGGGCTCCAAATCGCCAATACTGGAAGTACGAGTGGGTCGCCGCTCATCGCGTGGGGGGCGCCGCTGTCGTGAACGGGTACATCGCGCACATGCGATCAAGCGGCGTCGATGAAGTCGAGACTTTCCGGACAGGCAGCATCGACCTTCTTCGAGAAATGACCGATGACGATTACGAAGGCATCATCGGCATAGCTCCTGTGAGAAGGTATCAACATAATGAGTTCGGATGGAGGAGGATGCCTGCTCAAGATGTGCAAGTTAAGTTCCGTGGACAACGTGATCCTGTTTGGTATCCGAAATCCGAAATAGCGCGCCAGTTTGGACGGGAGGTGATAGAGGGAGACATCACGGATTTCTGGCAGAGATCCGGGATCGATCCGCCGGTGATGAACCCGCCTGACCTTATTGGTCCGAGGCAGACCAACGGCGATCGGCGGAGCACGAGGAACCAGACCGTACTATCTCCGTCGGAACCTGAAGCTCAAATTCCCCGACGCCCTACCCCTCAACAGGCTCAGCAGCAGTATACTCACCAGCGAGACCAGCAGCAAGTTCAAAATCTGGCCCAGACGCGGCGAGAGAGAAGCGGCATCGTAAACCGCATTGCTGTATCGAGGAGGGGCATTCTCACGCCAGAACACACCCCAGCACCTGAGCGCCCCTCTGACTTGGAGCAGACTCCATCTGCTGATGCCGAGTTCCAAACGCTACAAAACATCCTTCGTAGACGTCCAGAGCTCCTAGGGCGAGTGCGAAACATGGGACTGTGAACTCTCAATTTTTAGTGGAGAGAAGACTTGTAGGTTTATAAATTGTAACTGCTCTGCGAAAGCCACCAAGTCATAACTACTTTTCTTGTTTGCCTTTGCTCTTTCTTTTCCCCCCTCAATTTAGCTATTTCCCCCCCTTTTTTCTCTTTTGGAAATGCAGTCTCGATACTGTTTTTGTTTTGTCTTTCTTCCAGTCATTTATCTATATGTTTGTCTAAGGCAATGTCAAGTATTTGCCCAAGGCTCTCTCTTATGTTCAAGTATTTAGTTTGGTTTCGTAGCTATCTAAATAGTTTTAAGAACTAATGCCTATGACCTGCTGATGTGTTGAGACTCACGGTATATTGAGGAAGTTGAATATGGCGAGGCAACGCAGTATGGGAAGGGAAGGGCAGGAAGGGGCAAGATGAAGTGAGGTGGGGGATCGCCAGGACCCCGAAGGCAGCATTGCGGCACAGCAGAGAAAGAATAGGGGCCAGAAGAGCCGCTAGGGCACGGCGATAGGGATCTAGAAAGGCCCCGGCAAACTTCGACAAGGATTCCTTGTTTTATATGCAGATCCAGGTCGTATCAGCCATTTCTTGGCTTCCACGCGGTCGGAAGAATATAGAATTCGGCCTCTGTACTAAAAGCCCGCTGTTTGATCACGGCAACTGAAACAACAAGCGACGCGGGCTGTCTTGAAGCGTGGCTGTGTGCCCTTGGAAACCTTGTACGACCATCTAGCTAGAGCGGCCGTTGATCGTCGCAGGCTGCCGGTCGCTCGTTTAGAGTAGCAGCGACGTTAGCGCAACAGCCATCACCCCATCACTCCATGCACCCCCTGCGGCACTACTCAGTGCTATCCGGCTCTCTTGGTCTTGGACCTGCTTGCTTCACTACCACTGTTTGCACCACGAAGTCGTGATAGTCTTGACTGAAGCATTTTGGCTGGTAGGAGGACCCCGAGGCTTATGGAATCTGCTACTAACAGATTGCAGAGTATAGGCAGCGGCGCCTCCCTCGACCCGATAACTCTATCACCTTCTCTTGCGGTCACGCATCAATCCCGTCATTTTGGGGACCTTCGAATACAATGGAGACTCATGTCAAAAGACAGCTGGGAACGTTCCGAGGAAAGCGCGCGTCCATGACTCGAAATAGAGGTCCATTGCCTGAAGGAAATGCTATCGCGGTCCTTCCGGTGGAGCTACTCACAATCATCCTAACCATTGTCCGAAACAGCACTCCTGCAAAACAGTACCTTGATACGCTTCGTTGCTGCCGCCAGTGGCTGACAATAGGCCAAAACATCCTACACCAGAACATAGTCCTCACTTCGAGCACGATTGCGACTTTCATAGAGAAATTCCCGTCCGAATACCTCTCCGCAATACGTACAATCACCATATCGGTCGACAGTCGAGATGAAAAGCTACGCAGAGATCTCGCTCAGGATCCCTACGGGCCCTGGCTCATGATAGTAGCGCTCGGACGCTTTACCCAGCTTCACACGTTCTCGTTCACCGTTCTTAGGAGGTCTCGGGCGAACTCGTCCCCCTATTGCCCCACGCAAGATAGCTATATTCAAGCATTACTGAAGCATCTCCCTCAGAGTGTCTCCAACCTTAATCTAGACGTTGCCGGCTATGGAGTCATCTTCCCTTTTCGAGAATCTGCGCAAAAGATGATTAAAGAAATCCCCCCTCAAATAATCAATCTTCGACTGCGTCTGGGCTCTCTAGAAGTGGATAAGACACTAGAACACCTCAATTTTCGACAAAAAGCCCTCAAATCCGTCCATATAGATGTATGCTTACCGAACATCGACTTGGAATCGCCCCTGCTCAGCAGTACGGCGCTGACCACAAGACTTGATCGTCTAACCAGCACGCGTCTTGATTCCCCCATACAGCTGGATCTCGACACGCCGTTTGAGCTCCAGCTTACAAATCACGTAACGGAATATCGGATGAATATGGCCGGACGAGCCACACGTGTATTCGCATCCAATGGAGACGGGGCCTGGGACTGTGTACATCGGATTCTTCTTACATTCAACCCATCCAAGCCGGATATCCTCGCCCCTAAAGACCCAGAAGCCATCTTATCAGCCATAGCTGGCTGGAATCGTACGGCGACTGGAGAACTACTCCCAGGATTCCAAGATGGTCATGAGTACGATTTATGGCTCCGAAGAATCTCTGAAACATTGAGTGGCAATGCATGAGGTCCCAGTGTGATAGTCGGTCATCGACAAAGCAGTACAAGTCTGGGCCAACTTTCTGCATTTTGGGAGCATATTTGTTACATTCTCTTGTTTAGCTTCCATAACACGTCTCGAACGCTGGCAATCTTCACCGTGTGTTTCTTTTTTACAATATCGTTGTTACATATTTCCTGTCCAAAGATCCATTCATACCACTACTGTATCATTTTTCTTATCTCTGCACCGGATAATCGCCTACATAAGCAATGGGTCACAAAGAATTAATTCAGCTCTCTCGATGTGGGGCTGTGCTCAAGGCACGTGGCATCGGGTCTCACATGCGCGCCTGATTTAAGCGCCTGTTTCAACGCGAAGGCTGCGATTTTTCTATGATTAGCACAAACCAACCTAAGTAAAGCAGAGCATGGAATATCCGCGCCTAGCAGTTCATCTATGTGATTTTTTTTTCTCTTAATATGGATGTATTTATTGTGACCCGTGAACAGTCCAGACACGTTCCCCGAGAAGACAAAAAACAGGAGACATGGCTAACCAAGAACACCACGACCTAAGCAGGAAGAATGGACGGAGTAAGAAGCCTACAAGGTCACGGGTTTGGAAGAGAAAGAGGACTGTTTTGAAAAAAGTGCACGAGTTTGGGAAGATCACAAACTCACCGGTCTTTCTGCTCTTTGTGCTTAACAATCGTTACTACTCTTACTCCACTGACGCGCCGATGTGGCCGCCTCCTCTCGAAAAAGTAGTAAGTCGCTCTTACACGCTTATAGCAACTCATACACTGACTATCGGCTTCTTTTCCGTCATTTTATCGAAGAACTCGTCTTACCCTGAGCCTGTAAAATGCACACCGAAGGACTTCGAAACTGGATGATGCCCGGCGTCGAGAATCACCGCCAGCTATTTCAAGCAAAACTGGCGGATTCGTAGCATCTAGACTTAGAGTTTTTTTTTTTTGTGTACCGACTGAATAGTGAGCAAACTGAATACAATCACCTATAAACACTCTAATATACATGTATAACAATACATTCGTGTGTAGGTGGTGCAAGTATCGAATTTACGCGTGAACCGTACGCAGGTAGCTGGGACGGCGGCGTGTCAAGCACACATCATATCATACTGTTAAGTGATGGAACATGAACTCAACCGTTGCCTTGTCTTTGCCTTATTGCTCGATATGTTGAAACTTTCAACTACCTCAATCGTCTGTCTGAGTGAACCCAGCAAAGTCCACTCTTTCTTTCAATAGGATAAGCTCGAATGTTCCACGCAATCTGGAAGTTCGCATGAGCATAGATGAGTATCTAAGTAGGCAACTCAAATATATATTAAAAATGTATTCCAATGGTCTCGTTTGAGCTAATGTGGAGGGAATGACATTGGAAATAGATAACTGTCAGACTGTGCTTTACCTTTTACTCCGCGTTTATTTGCCATATCTCGTGTTCTTTTCTCAACACCAAGGCAGAACACCTGTTTATCTTACCACCAAGCGTGACTTACTCACGATACTTTGAGGCACGTGCACGAACAATTAGTGTATATAAACAGGTAGTTTCTACTGTTATTCTGCTCTTCAGCAGTGTACAATTCAATCACTTTGCACTGTTCAACAATAAAACCGACCGCCTTGATGCAAAAGGAGTGGCAATAGATAGATTTCGTGTAGAATTCGTGTACGCTATGATTCAATCTACATTCTTCCCAACCCGAGGCCTCTTGCATCGGTCAGACTCACTCAAGTCCCCGCATCTTTTCTTTTGGCATGTTGAACCAGTACAGTTGGAGCACCTCAACAAGCCTGGGCAGCCGTGCTGCGGGTTGCCAAAATCCGAGTCAAGCATTTGACTTGCAACGAGGCTTTCCATGCTGCGCGGAAAACTACTAAGCTTCATCGACGTGTCCTCTTCCATCCTCATGCTCAGCGTGATGATATCTGAGGGGTGTCTTACGTAGAAAGCGATGCTCTTGCTATATCGGTGGCACCACCCGCAGATATCATCCAGGCCATTGAAGTGTGAAATATAACCGGAGTCTACCATGAAGTCAATCGGCACAGAGACCAGCTTACGCAGACATCTTACCACCTCGGAGGCGTCTCCTCGGCAGCGGATTGAACCTTCGCAGCGATAGAAGCCACCCTCAAACTGAGGGACTTCCGATAGCTCGAAGAAGAAGGAAGAAGCTAGCAGCATGAGAAGAGCCTTCCGCCGATCCTGAGTCATTTGCTCGTTGTTGCGGACATTCTCCCTTAGTTCGTCCATGTGGATTGTGTCGTCGAGCGGATATGGCCCATTCAATGCGACATTAAAACGGATATACTTTTCCCTTTCCTGTGCATCCAAACGGTTTGCCAGCGCCCTTGAGTCCTTCTCTCCTTCGGTAGATTTAATCAGATATCTGATGGACCTCGGAATAAAGCCGTCTAAAACGACGTTGCGATATTTTGCAGTCTTCCCCGGTTTCTCTTCAGAACCGGTCCCCAGAGAGATTACGAGATCTATAGCGGCATCTGGCCAAATGTGGCGACTTTCTTCCTGGAGAAGGCCTGCTGGATTGTTGGCCCCCAAGCCCCCGTCCTGAAAGAACCCAAGGTGAGAGACGGACGCAGGGCGGAAATATAGCGGCGCAGCAGTTGTAGCACGGGCTCTGTATTCTAATCAGCAGTGTGTCACTAGCGTAGATGGCAGGTTACTGACGCTTCCCACGCACGGGGTTCGCTCGAGGGGTCTAGTGGCCTAAAGCTTCTATATCCTGTGCCTGGTCAGTAAGGGGAAACGGTAAAAGCACC